GGATAACTGTGAAGTTAATTCTACTCCTCTTGCCTGTGCGTCCCCAGTGCTGGGATTTTAGGCTTGCACCCCCACCTAGCTTTGATTCTAGTGCTGGTGATCAAACCCAGGGCTTTGTGCATGCCAGACAAACAGCCATCCCTAAGCCACATCCCCCGGACTGACCTTGGACTTGATCTTCCTGCTCCCGTCTTCCCAGTAGCTAGAATTACGTCTTCGACTGAGACAGGATTTCTGGAGGAAGCTTTAGGAGCCACCTCTCAAACTCCTGTGGGGTCCTGAGCACATCCTGGTTGAGAGGCACTGGTCTCTTGCACTCCTGACTGAGCGAGCAGCCCCCACCCTGAGCTCTTTCCCTGAGGACCTCACCACCCGCTGGCACTGGCAGGCCTCCTCAGTTAATATGGAGCCCTGAGAGGGAAGGAGCCAGACAGAACTCGGTGGGATTATAACCACTTGTGTGCCTGTGGCGCCAATCACATCAGGTGCTCTGGTAGGAGTGGGCAGACAATCCCAACTTCCCCAGGAATCCTGGGAAGTAGCTTTTACTAGAGCCCTTATTTCGCTAATGGGAAACCGAGGCAGAGAATAATCCTCGGACTTGTCTGGTCACATAGCTGCCATCCTGAAAGTCTGGGCCCCCTCTGAGGGTCTTGATCTGCCCTGTGAAGAGCTTGCTGACTAAGTGATTTCCTCATTTGTAGTTAGAGATCTGTTTTTCCTCGCACGGCAGGCCCACTGCTAAGCCATCCCAGGAATGGTTTCTTATCTCCAGCATTTCTGCTCTCCATAACGACTAACTGGTCACTGTAAGTAGCACAAAAACAGGAAAAGATGGGAGCGTGCTTGACGCGAATTCCTCCAACCCTAATATCACAGTGCGCAGTGGCCCGCTTGCCTTCCCGACCTTAGGAACAGGAACAATCCGTGTTTGAGGGAGTGGAGTTTGATCTGATTTAGGATTATCCCGGAGTGTAACACACAACGTTGATGAAGCCCTGGCAATTGGATCACTGACGTCAGCTTGCCCGTTGCTGTTGGTTTCTAACTCCTGAGTCTTACCTGAACACTCTCAGCCTGGAGTGGAGGAGGGAGGGCAGGATGCTGGTCACATGACCACTCTCTGGGGGTCTCACCCCACGGCTGGGTCTGAGGAGACGAAGTGTGTGCAGAGCGAGAGGGTGGGAATGCCAGAGTCAGATGATGAGGCCAGAGGAGGCGGAGCCTAGATCACAGGAAACAGCAGATGCTGCTGGAAATGAGTGGAACTCATTAAACTGCGGGGTTTCCAGGTGTTCTGCAAGCTCTTGTCAGGCAGGTGGGCCCTCATCTCGCTCTCTCCAGAGCCAGCCAAGATAGATGCTTTGGGGTAAAAACAAGAAGAGGAACCTAATGATCCCTAAGCCACAACCTCCTTTACCCATAACCAGATTTGGCTTTAAATTCACCATGTGTGATGTCTTTGGGTCTCTGTTTCTGCATCCATGGATTCCTCTGACGGTGGTAAAAATAATGGGTAGAAAATGTGTCTGCACCAACATGTGTGTTCCCCTCCTTGTCACGTCCCCCAAATACAGGACACTGACTACTTACATAGCATTTACCTTACGTTAGGCATTCACATGGCCTATAGGCATTGTAAATACAGGGGAGGATTTCTTGATGTCTTAGGTTTATATTGCTGCGATGACCTCCATGACCAAAAGCAACTTGGTATAGAAAATCTGGCTTACATATTCTGAGTCATAGTTCACTGAGGAAAGCCAAGGTTGGAACTCCAGGTGAGAACTGAAGCAGAGCCTTAGAGAAAAGAAGCACTCTCCACTTGCTTGCTCCTCATGACTAAATCAGTCTGCTTTCTTCTGTGACCCAGGACCACCTGCCCAGGAGTGGCCACACCCACAGTGGGCTGGACCCTCCCACATCAATAATTAACCAAGAAAATGCCCTACAGACTTGCCTGCAGACAAATATGATAGAGGCATTTTTTTTTTCAGTTGAGATTCCCTCTTCCCGGAAGACTCTAGCTTGGATCAAGTTGTTCAAAATCTAATTAGGATGCCTGAGCTGTGTTCAGATATTGCACCCTTTCTGTGAGGTCTTGAGCAGCATCAGGGTTGCGGTGTTCAAAGGGGATCTAAGGAGACTGAGAAACAACCGTCCAGCCCAAGTTCCATGGTTTTGCTACTCCCTCCTCCAACCCTGGTCAGGTAGGGTGGGGTTGGAGAACACCAGGAAAAGCACCACACTTGCCCGATGGAGGCCAGCCTTGGATTCAGAGGCTGCACACCTGTGTATGATTCCAAGCCCCGTATCTCCTGTGGGGGCCTAGCCAGCAGGTGAAGGTGTGATTCAGAGGGAGGACGTGCTCTGTGCTTGGCACCTGTAACCAGTCCCCCTCCCCCCGTCTGTCTGCAGGTCATCGAGGACTGGAAATTCGTAGCAATGGTCGTCGACCGCCTGTTCCTGTGGGTGTTTGTGTTCGTGTGCATCCTGGGCACCGTGGGGCTCTTCCTTCCTCCCCTCTTTCAGACCCACGCACCTTCCAAGGGCACCTAGGCTCCCCAGCCTGCCAAGGGCCTCTGGGTTACAGTAAGATGATGTGAGAAGCCAAGTGGGCAGTTTACTGCTTCCTCTGGGTCCCAGCTAATGAGATCCCAAGTAAAGACGTGACCACTGGCAGTCAACCCCATGAAACCAGGCACGGCCGTGAGAAGGACAGGATGGCTAGCTGCACTGCCCCCTCTGATGCCTTTGAGTAAGTCCCCGAAGGAGCAGATAAGGCTGTGGACGTTCAGCCTGGCATCCTTCCTTCCCTGTGTCTGGCCCTGGAGTCAGTCATCCGAGCAGCATCTGCTGTGCCATGTCCCATGCCATCATACGCCAGCCTGCTTCCCATCCATCTCCCTCCACCCCCAGCTGCCCAGTAGATTCCTGCCTCTTCCTCCATCTCCTCACACTTCCAGATCCCCAGGTCAGAATCTCTATATCTGCTGTGGTTCCTGCCCAAATCCTCAGACTCTTACTTCCCAAGCTCTTCACATGGCTGTACTAGTCAGGGTTCTGCTCCCATGATCCTCTGCTCCATTATCTTGTCTTGTAGAAGCCTTCCCTACTCATGCATTCTGAAGTAGTGTCTCCCATAACTGCATTAAACTTCCAGCTTGCTGGAATGCCCCCATCAGTACCTAGGCTCTTAGTTGGTGGCACACCAGTCACCTATACCTTGCCCGTGGGAGTGTATGCTCCACAAGGCGAGGGCTTGAGAGAGTGCTCTGCACACAGAAGGTGAAAAATAAATGTTTGTTGAATGAATGGGTGTCTCCTGTTTTCCTCCAAACTCACGTGCTCCCTCTGAGTAGCTGTCCTTGGTTCCCACCTCTAGAAAGAGTGTCCTCCTCCGGACATCACTCTGGCTGCTTTCTGCCTTCACATCATGGTTGGTTCGGGCCTGTCTCTGTCACACACACACACACACACACACACACTTGGTTCAGGTCTGTTTCTGCCACACACACACACACACACACACACACACAGTTGGTTCAAGTCTGTTTCTGCCACACACACACACACACACACATATAGTTGGTTCAGGTCTGTCTCTGTCACACACACACACACACACACACACACACACACACACAGTTGGTTCAAGTCTGTTTCTGCCACACACACACACACACATATAGTTGGTTCAGGTCTGTCTCTGTCACACACACACACACACACACACACACAGTTGGTTCAAGTCTGTTTCTGCCACACACACACACACACACATATAGTTGGTTCAGGTCTGTCTCTGTCACACACACACGCACACACACACACAGTTGGTTCAGGTCTGTTTCTGCCACACACACACACACACACATATAGTTGGTTCAGGTCTGTCTCTGTCACACACACACACACACACACACACACACACACTTGGTTCAGGCCTGTCTCTGTCACACACACCGATCTCACAGTACTAGCCCCATTGTTGGCACGCAAGATATTTCTGGAATTAAGGAGAAGATTGTTGAGGTTTTAAAGATGTTTTGTCTTCATGCATTTGTGTGAACCATGCACATGCCTGGTGCCCCTGGTGGGCAGAAAGGGACTCTGGAATCCCTGGAACTGGACTTACAGACATGAGCCACTATATTAAGTGCTGGGAATCAAACCTGGATCCTCTGGAAGGCCAGCCAGTGCTCCTGACTATCCCTGAAGAAGAATATTTTAAAGAGTTTTGTTCTCAGAATTATCATAAAGTTGACTTCTTTGTGTATAATCCTTTCAATTTTAACAAAGTATATATTTGCATAACCATCACTGCCACTAGGGCAAATGAAAAGTGTCTCACTCACGTTCTGCTACGGTTCTGTAGTGTGTCAGGTCCTGCACACTTAGCCCTGGCACCCCATACCTTCCCTCTATCACTCTAGTTCAGAACCTTCTAGCCTACTGTTTGAATAGAGACCTACCAGGTGTAACCTTCAGAGACTAGCTTCTTTCTGCTGCATCTTTAAAAAGAACTTCCTGGGGCCAGTAAGACAGCTCAGTGAGCGAGGGTACCTGAATCTCATCCCTGGAAGCCCTGTAAAGATGGAAGGAGAGAACAGGCTCCACAAAGTTGTCCTTCAGCTTCCTTGTGTATGCACGCCCACTTACCGGCTCGCGCACCCATGTATGAGCATGCGCAAACACACACAGTAAAAAAAAATCTTTTAAAAAGAAACACTTTTATTGAAGTATAATTTACACACCATAAAATTCAGTCATTTTCAGTGGACAGATCCGTGCGCTTTAGTATGTTCATCATCTCTCTTTCACACTAACAAGGTCCCTAATAACCATCAAGGAAGCCTCCGAGTTCCAAGTCATCCCTGGTGGGTGGCCAGAGAGGCCAAGGGACCCCAGGGCACCTACCTTGTCACTGCCTATTCCTGGGACACCCAGGCTAGCAGGCGGCAGTGAGACAATGGAGGGTCTACAAGGGTCAGGTGGAAAGCCAGATGCTCGCTCGCTCTCTATGCTTCACTTTCTTATAAAAGTATTTATTTGCTATACGGGGGATCAAAACATGGGCTTTTGCTAGGCAAGTCCTCTCCTGCTGAGCAGGAACCTCCAGCGTTGTTCTATGTTTTATTAAGGAGCATTCCTAGCATAGTCTAAATAAAGAGAAAAATATAAGACCTCCCGTATGTCATCACCTGGCCATGATAACTCATCGCCAATATTGTTTTGACTCCAACCCATCTATTTCCCCTTAACTATATGCTGTATGTATGTATTATACACACCAGTGTCATACTGAAAATAGTTACTTTAAGAACATCAACTTCCACAGTCTCCTTTTGAGTTGCGCCAGAGCCAGCACCGCCTTGTGGTGGTCCCCCCAGCCGTCCTCGGAGCTGCACGTGCCCAGGAAGCCCTGGTCAGAGATTTGGTCCTTTTATCCTGCCTCGGTGACAGTGCCTGCTCTGGTCTGGTCCTTTGCCTAGCGGTTTCCAGATCCAGGGCTGCTCAGGGCGAGGCAGGGACCCGACGCCCCTCCCACCTCGGCGGGTGCAGCTCCCGCCTCGGCCTCCCCGCCCCGCGGCAGCTCGCAGTGTTTAGCTGCCCGGGATTCGTGCGTTTCGGGGGCTCAGGTGCACCGGAGCTCGGCTACCCGAAGCCGGGAAGAGCCCCGCGGTCCCTGCTGTCCCCGCGCCCGCATAGCTGGGCGTCGGCGGTCAGCACCCGAGTGGATCCCGCCCTGTCCGCGCGGTCTCCAGACATGGACGCTGTACCGCTCTGGTCGCCTCTGTCATTGCTGATACTGCTGCTTCTGTCAGGTATGCGCGGAGAACGGTCGGGTCAGGAGCCCGGGCGGGTGGTGGGCCAGGGGCTCGCACTGCAACCCTGGCCTCTGCTTTCCCCACACCGCTTCGGCCACCAGCCCCTTAGAAGTCTAGGCGCCCATCTGCCTTGGGTCTCAGCGTGGTCCCAAGCTTCTGACAGTGCACGCGCATCCCAGTCCCTACCTCGCTGAGCCCCTTGGGTACTTCCTTTGTTCCCAAGCCTCTCAGTTTGAGGAGGCGCGTGGCGAGCCCAGAGCCGGCCCTCTAGGTCTGAGCCGGAGTTAGAGGTTTGAGTCGCGGTCCCGAACGTCCCGAACGTCGCCCTGCTGCAGGGACCCGCAGTCCCGCTTCCAATATCTGCCTCTTGCTCACCGTTTGGTTTTGTGGACCGTGGGAAAAACTGTGCCAAAGAAGAGACTTGTTTGGAGCTGGAGCTGGACCAAGGCTCTGGTTCTAGTCGTTCGTCTCTGCACAATGACCGCGTTGCCTAGAGATCTTCGACGTGATTGTTCCTCCCAGGCCGTTGCAGAGGCTCTAGAGGAGTCGATTAGGAGGAAGCCCTTCCAGAGACCCTAGGTGGACGAGGCAGAAGGCAGTTACAATGTCCCCTGAAGGCGGGTAGGACCTGCAATTTAAGCGGGATGGGGGGAGCTTGCATCATTATGGTCTGCACTTCTGTGAGGGGCCCACCCAAATCATGGCCTGAAGAACGTGGGTTATACTTCCCCCAGAAGACTGTCCCTCGACTGACCCCCCCCCCCCCCAGTACTGTAAGTAGGAAGCAGCCGACAGCTTGAGCCAAGATGTCTCACTTAGTTGGGGGTGGGCTTGTGAACAAAAGAGGGTGCCCAGGAGCCTCCGAGGTAAGGAGTTGGAGTGAGGACGTGAAGACAGCACTGGCAGAAACCCGTGGGCACCTTGGCTCCTAAGACGTTCATAACCAAACCCCTGCAGATTGTGGGAGGATGGAGGAAGGGGCTGCAGTCTTCCGCATAGTGGGAAGTGGGGTCTGGCCTAAGGAGACCCTAAGTGGCCCCGCCCCCGCCCATGGGTTGGGTGAGTCATCTTTCAACCTGGGCAGCAGGGGTACCTTCCTTGGAGTAGCAATAAAGGTTTGAGCCTCTAATAGTTCTTTCATTATTATTATTATTATTATTATTATTATTATTATTATTATTATTAAAAGCACAGTTGGGTGACTTATGTAAAGAAAGGTTAGAGTTTTACTAAGAAAAAAATATCTGGTTCAGCTGGTAAAGACACTCGCCACCCTGCCTGATGTCCTGAGTTTGATTCCCAGGACCCTCATGGTGGAAGGAGAGAGCTGAGTTTTAAAGGGTGCCCTCTGAACCCCACACACATGCACCCCTCTCCTGTAATGTAATAAAAAATTAAAGAAGAAAAAAGGTAATCTTTCCTTAAATTTAAGAGAGAGGAGGAGAGGGAGAGAGAAAGCTAAGAAAATAGCAGTAACACACACACAAGTGTGGCTGTCTGAAGAGAGTCCCACGAAGCTAACAGTTCTTGAGCGCCTGCCACAGGTCCCTGAACCAAGCACTTTACCCCAATTCTTGAGGTGCATTCATGCATACTCTTTACTTTGGTAGATTCAAAGAAAAAAAAAACAAACAAACAAGGTTCAGAGAGTTTAAGTTACTAGTCTAAGCTTACACAGATTCCCACGTTTGCAGGGCTTCTAAGCCCCTGAATGTGTGTGACCTGGTAGAATTCTTGTCCCTCCTGAGCCCCAGTTTCCCAGTTTGTAACTGGAAAGCATCATTAGCCTGGAAGCCAGGGTTTGCAGAGTGCCCTGGCGGATGGGAATCTGTAGGCAGGATGTCTTTGCCGAGAGAGGTAAGCAACCATTTCTCCAGAAACTGACAGGAATGCCTCCCTCAGTGGCCAGTGCCTCAGAAGCGGAACACCGCCTGTTCCAGTACCTGTTCGAAGATTACAACGAGATCATTCGGCCTGTGGCGAACGTGTCCCATCCCGTTGTCATCCAGTTTGAGGTGTCCATGTCTCAGCTGGTGAAGGTGGTAAGTGCTGGAGCCACAAGATGTGGCCGTGGGGATCTCTGGAGCCTGCCTGGAGTCAGCCTTATTTCTATCATTCAACTGTCAACTTCAATCTCACTTTCTAGGATGAAGTAAACCAGATCATGGAGACCAACCTGTGGCTGAAGCAAGTACGTGCGCGCAGATTCTGTGTACTGCTGCCCCCTGGTGGTAATCGCTTTATTTGCTGATGGGAAACAAAAGGGGCTGCCCTCTTGCTGAACCTGGAGCTCGATGATTCTGCTGGTCTAGGGAGCCAGGTTACCCTGGGAATTCCTTCTCCACCCCCTGGGATTGTGAGATGGGAAGGTTGTGTGGGTGCTGGGGGTCCAGTTGTCACACTTTCACAATCATTGCTTTATTCACGGAGCAACCCCCTCTTGTCCCATTTGAGACATTGTAGCCCAGGATGGCCTGGAACTTCCTGTACAGCTTAAACTGTAACCCTCTTGCCTCCACCTCCTGGCCCTCTGCCTGGCGTGGAGAGTAAGCTCGAGGTATGTAAAGAATAGGAGTTTAATGTAGGGAGCTGTCAGAAGTCCCGAAGGCCGAACCTTGGTTAATGTATTCAGAGAAGGCACCGATGAATGGCTCCTGATTGGTTGACAAGGGTTGAACTCCCCTAACCGTGAGGTCTGACTTCCTAGGGCAGGGGCAACCTTCAGACTTAGCCCATGCTGTTTGCCCTGCTACCTCCAAGTTGCTCCCTTGGTCCAACATACTTTGCCGCAGGGAAATGGCTCAGTGACCCAAAGCAGAGGTGACCGGCCTGCCAGTCACTGTGATGGCCATGATGCAGTGTCAGGAGAAAGCCTGGCTGGTCCTTCCACTACCTTCTATCTCCCCGCCTCCTTCCACCAGATCTGGAACGACTATAAGCTGAAATGGAAGCCCTCTGACTACCAAGGGGTGGAGTTCATACGCGTCCCCGCGGAGAAGATCTGGAAACCAGACATCGTGCTTTATAACAAGTAAGGAACTGGCTGTCCCAACCTCTGGTCGGGCAGACTGGGCTCTGTGTCCTCCAGCCACTCAATGGCCAGCCTTCCTTGGCCTTTCCCTCTGCAGGCTCTGGGCGGTACTGGGTACCATAGATGCCAGCAAGCCACAGAGCGGCAGGATGCGGAGTGATTCCTAAGAGAATGATGTGTGCCTGGAGGAGGGGAAAGGTCACCAGGGAAGCTGCTGGGAGGAAATGTCATTAAAGTGGGCCTTGAAGGTCACATGGGATCTGGAACAGGGGAACAGCAGCAGGAAGGTCCAGGGAGGCAGGAGAATGTGTCATGGGTAGCTGCACTGTGGGGTAGAAGGCTGGAGGATCAGGGAGAGCCCTGTCTATGGGGGGGGGGGGAGGGGTCTGGGACGGCAGGGGAGGGCCTTGCATGTGGCACCATTACTAGCTCCGCGGCAGGGATGGGAGTAAATGGCCGTCTTGCCCTATTTAAAAGAGGATACTCATGGGAGAGAGAAAGGCTGGGCAAGACTCACAGATTGTCCTAGGTTCCCGAGCTAGTAACCAGCTAGCCACCGAGGAGCCGCTAAGCACACAGCTGCTCCGAGGTTAGACTATTTTCTTTTTTGTGGCTTGTTCTTTAGCATGGCTATGCACCGGATTTTTACCTGCCTCAATTCATCCCAGTATCCGCCATGGGCAACTTCTTCTGCATGGGTCTGAAAGAGAGTTTTGGGGGAGGGGGTGTTGAGAGTTCTGAGAGCTCCGAAAACTGGCCCCAGCCTTGGCTCATTTCTCCACAACCCTCTGTGCGTTCTCACTGTAAAGTTTGATTTTTTTATGTTTATTTATTTGTGCTGGGGGTGGAAGGAGGTAAAGATGGAAGGAGGGAGAGAAGGAGGGAAGAAAGGGGGAAGGAAGGGAGAGAGAGGGTGAGCCTATGTGGAGGTCAGAGGACAATTGCAAGAGTCAGTTCCTGGATTCCACCATGTAGGTCAGTGGTCTGAGAACAGATCCCAGGCCATCAGACTTGGTGGCATCTTTACCAGGTGAACCACATTACCAGGTCTCTGCCATTTTTTAAAAAATTCCCAAATGCAAATTTCAGTATTGAATCAGGTCGTCTTTTTGAGACAGGATCTCACTGTGTAGCCCAGGTTGGCTTCAAACTCATGATTCTCCTGCCTTGGTGTCCCATGTGCTGGGAGTCTAGGGTGTGTATACCATACCTTCCACATATGATCCTTGTCTTTGATGGGCAGGTATTTCTTCTTCGTTTCTGACGCTAAGATTAACTCCTAGGGTGCTGGAACCCCATTTCCCCCTCCCCGGGCTGCCTCCAGTCAGCGGCCATCCCTCTGGCCTGCAATTCTCATGGTTCTCCAGCTCTGTGCTCTTGTGTGCTGATGTTCACGGGACACTGAAACCCCCACTGAAGGCATGGACAGTGGGCTCGTTCTGCTATCCAAGGTGCCCCATTTTTCTGAAGGAATCTTAGTTTTTCTCGAGTTTCTGCTGTTCGGAGGTTTTTCCCACCCTCGCCCCATTTCCACACATAATTTTCTGCATATGCATGAGCATGTCAGCGGGAGGGCGGGGCGCCCCTCTGCATATTCATGAGGATCGGTGGGTCGAGCCTCTGCCTGTTCATTAGGGTTACAGAGGGGTCAGAGAGTTCATTAGGGTTACAGAGAGTCAGACTCTCCAGAGCAAGTTGACCAGCCTCATCATCCCTCTGGGTTTGATTGAGCAACCCTTGGTAAGCTCTGGGTTTGATTGATAGACCCTGCCTCGGTGAATAAGGATGAAAGAACAATCAAGGATAATTCCTGACATTGATTTCAGGCCTCTACATGCACTGCATACATGGGCATCCCACACGTGTGACCACATACACACAGATAGACATATGCTTCATGCATAACACAAACACACACAAACAGAAAAGAAAAACGGTGGAAATACGGAAGGGCAGTGTCTTAGTTAGAGTTACTACTATTGCTATGAGCAAACACCATCATCAAAAGCGGTGAGGACTGGAGCTCACTCGTGGTGGGAACCTGGAGTCAGGAGCTGATGCAGAGAATTGTCACTTACTTGACCGCTTCCAGGGCTTGCTCAGTCTGCTTTCCTAGAGAAGCCAGGATTACCAGTCCAGGGGTGGCCCCACCCACCACGGCCTGGGCCCTCCCTCATCAATCACTAAGAAAATACTCTGCAGGCTTGCTTATAGCCTGATATTATGGAGACATTTTCTCAACGAGGTTCCCTCCTCTCTGATGTCAAGTTGACATAAACTAGCCAGCACAGGCAGGTTTGTGGCCACAGTTTGCCAATGCCTGGACTTGGCCCTGAACTTTGAAGTAGGTCGCTTCCTTCTCTGACATTTGTTGATCCTTGCTCAGGAGGCCCCTGTGTTATGTAGGGTCTTCAAGGTTCTCACAGAACCCTGGGGCTGGGGGTGGTGGCGCTGGTACTGAGTCTGAGTTTCCCTGGAGGCTGAGGAGAGCTCTCTTTCCTCGTACTGCTCCTTTCCTCTGGAGTCATCAGGGATTAAGGTTCTGGAAACCCAGGAAGGAAAACCAGCCAGCTGGAGCAGACATGGGTAGGAGCTCAGGCTCTGAATTGTCACGTGCAACAGCTGTGTGCCCAGTGGAAGGACGGAGACCAGCAGGGAGGAATGATCTCCACCAGAGCGCTGCCTTTCCAACAGCAACACAAGGCCATCCTGAAGCTTTAGAATTCTGTCTCTTTCAGATTTTCACCTGGCCACCAAAAGGGCCATGAAACCCAAGGATGCCTCCCACTGTTGCAGGCTAAGAGACCCAGGGAGTTGGTTCCAGAGGTCAAGAGTCTTCAGTGGGGGTGCATGCTTGTAATCCCAGCATTTAGGAGGCTAAAGCGGAAGGATCGTGAGTTTGAGTCTAGCCTGAGCTACAGTAGCATGTCTTTATCCACAAAGGAAGAAATCCTTCTGTGGGTGGGACACTAGTGAGAACCACATGACCTTGCTACCAGATGGCTTCCGTGGGTCAGAGATAGATTGCTGAATGCAAGCTCTGCAGGGAACTGAGAGTGTCACCAGTTCTCCTGTGAAGACCTCAGCATATAGACATCAACAGGACGACCCTCAGAAAAGTGTGTTATCTAGAGAAAAAGAAGCGAGGTGCATAATAAGGCTAAAAAAGAGCAGACATGGGAGTAAGTGGAGACAGACAGGGAGGGAAGTGAAGACCAACCAGTTCGCTGAGTTTTACTTGAAAGTGTGTTCTTTTTTTTTTTTTGATTTAGTTATTTATTGTGTGTACAGTATTCTGTCTGCATGTATGCCTGCTGGCCAGAAGAGGGCATCAGATCTCATTACAGATGGTTGTGAGTCACCATGTGGTTGCTGGGAGTGCTCTTAGCCACCGAACCATCTCTCCAGCCCGAAAGTGTGTTCAATGAAATCAGAAAACGTGTTTGTTTTTATTGGAGAACAGTATTGGGAGGAAAGGGGGCAGTAGAAGAACTGGAGGAAGAGGGGGCAGGGGTAGAACTGGAGGAGGGGATGGGGTAGAACTGGAGGAAGGGGCAGTGGTAGAACTGGAGGAAGGGGCAGGGGTAGAACTGGAGGAAGAGGAGGCAGGGGTAGAACTGGAGGAGGGGGCAGGGGTAGAACTGGAGGAGGGGATGGGGTAGAACTGGAGGAAGGGGCAGTGGTAGAACTGGAGGAAGGGGCAGGGGTAGAACTGGAGGAAGAGGGGGCAGGGGTAGAACTGGGGCCTGACGGAAGAAGTGAGCTTCCTTGCAAGGGTGAGTTTTACAGCATCAGCATCCGTGGCTGATCCATGAAGCCATTTCTCCATCTGCTGTGGGCTTCCATACATGTATCAGGTAAGGTACCCCGCGGAGACTGAGAAAGGGATGTTGACAAGGCCCTGCCTGCTAATATCCCCAAAGGCTGCTGAAACACCCACCTCCAGGATAACATTCATCACAAATTCAGAGCAACAGTGGGTCCCATTTTTGGCATTTAGGAGTCTCTATAACCATCCACCTAGGAAGTGTACACTGTGGAATGTACTGGCCGTATGACCAGCATGGCAGAGTGTGTGATGGAGAGGTCCTGGAGGTGGTGACGATGTGTGGGCAGAGTGTGTGATGGGGGGTTCCTGGAGGTGGTGATGATGTACTGATGTACTGATGCCTAGGCCTCAGTATCTCCCCTGGAGAATGGGGTAATTGGCCCAGTGACCTCTTATGGTCCTTTGAACTCTCATATCCCACTGTTGACAAGTCATTACTTGTCATTGTCTTGGTAACCACGTGGGAAGCCAGGCTGAGTGGCCATATAGTGGTGATGGTGAGTTGTGTGCCCCACTGTGTCTTCACAGCGCTGATGGGGATTTCCAGGTTGGCGATAAGACCAAAGCTCTACTCAAGTATACTGGAGAAGTGACTTGGATCCCTCCAGCCATCTTTAAGAGCTCATGCAAAATCGATGTGACCTACTTCCCATTTGACTACCAAAACTGCACCATGAAGTTTGGCACCTGGTCCTATGACAAGGCAAAGGTCGACCTGGTCCTCATCGGCTCCTCCATGAACCTCAAGGACTACTGGGAAAGTGGCGAGTGGGCCATCATCAAAGCCCCAGGCTACAAACACGAGATCAAGTACAACTGCTGCGAGGAGATCTACCAAGACATCACCTACTCGCTGTACATCCGCCGCCTGCCGCTGTTTTACACCATCAACCTCATCATCCCCTGCCTGCTCATCTCCTTCCTCACGGTGCTCGTCTTCTACCTGCCCTCCGACTGTGGCGAGAAGGTAACGCTCTGCATCTCCGTGCTCCTCTCCCTGACCGTCTTCCTCCTAGTGATCACCGAGACCATCCCTTCCACCTCGCTGGTCATCCCCCTGATGGGGGAGTACCTCCTCTTCACGATGATCTTTGTCACCTTGTCCATCGTCATCACGGTCTTCGTGCTCAATGTGCACTACAGGACTCCGACCACCCACACGATGCCCACGTGGGTCAAGGCCGTGTTCCTAAACCTGCTCCCCAGGGTCATGTTCATGACGCGGCCAACCAGCAGCGAGGGAGATGCTCAGAAGCCAAGGGCCTTCTACAGTGCTGAGCTCTCAAACCTGAACTGCTTCAACCGCGCAGACTCCAAAAGCTGCAAGGAAGGCTACCCATGCCAAGACGGGGCATGCAGCTACTGCCACCACCGTAGGGTGAAGATCTCAAATTTCAATGCTAATCTCACGAGAAGCTCCAGCTCTGAGTCTGTCGACGCCATGTTGTCCCTCTCTGCTCTGTCACCAGAAATGAAAGAGGCCATCCAAAGTGTGAAGTATATCGCTGAAAACATGAAAGCTCAGAATGTAGCCAAAGAGGTAAATATGTGGTTTTTATTACAGCTTCCTTGTACAGCGATGCATGGGACAGAGGTTAGAAAATTAGACTCTTAGGGGCTGGCGAGATGGCCTAGAAGTTAGAAGCACTTGCTACTCTTGGGGAGGATACAAACTTAGTTCCTAGTACCCACATCGGATGACCCCCAATGTCCATAACTCTCACTCCAGGGAATCCAACACCTTCCTTTGGCCTCCTCAGATACCCACGCACACATGTGCACGGGGACACACACACACACACACGTGTATGTACACTCACACAGAGAAATTATTTAAATTTTTTTTAAATTTATTCTTCTAATATGAGCAATTTATTTTTCATAAAGAATTGGACTGTTGTGTCAGCAGCTCCCATTCAGGCCGGCTGGACGTCCTTGGGTACATTAGTTTTCTCACCTGTAGTCCAGGCTGACCTTGAACTCACTGTCTCAGTTCCCCCCAGTAGTGGGACTCTAGGCCCATGTTGTCATTGTATCCAGTTTATAGATTTATCCAGGGATAAGGGCCACTTCTTAAGTCAGCATCGATAGTAAAAGTATTCACTAAGGAGTCTGCATAAGCAACCCTGAGATTGCACTATCTTTAGCCCCATTTTTCGGATGAAGACGTTGAGATAAAATTTACTCAGATTCTTTTTTTTTTTTTTTTAAGATTTATTTATTTAAGCCGGGCGGTGGTGGCGCACACCTTTAATCCCAGCACTCGGGAGGCAGAGGCAGGCGGATCTCTGTGAGTTCCAGGCCAGCCTGGTCTACAAGAGCTAGTTCCAGGACAGGAATCAAAAAAGCTACAGAGAAACCCTGTCTCGAAAAATAAAAAAAAAAAAAAAGATTTATTTATTTATTTTTATTTATTTATTTATGTACAATGGTGTTTTGCTGCATGTATATTTGTGTGAGGGTGCTGGATGCCCTGGAACTATAGTTACAGAGAGTTGTGAGCTGCCACGTGGGAGCTGGGAATTGAAACCAGGATCTCTAGAAGAGCAGCCAGTGCCCTTAACTGCCGAGCCATCTCTCCATCCCCTTACTCAGATCCTTACGCCTAGAAAGGCGCAGAGCTGGAGTAGAAACAGTTTGTCTCCAGCTGTTTCCTACCTGCTGCCTCGCAGAGTCACGGGAGTGGCGGGAGTGGTGTTATGTATCCTGCAGAGGGGCGGGTAAGACTCGGGCTGTGGACTTGAAGTGCTTACAGACAAGTCTTGGATATCCCCACAGAGTAACATGTCAAACAGGGCATGAGGAGTCTAAGTTTACCATGACTGTGACTTTCAGGGTGCCACGGAAAGAACACATTTACTCGAGCTCAGAAAGGGGAAATAAAACCCACATCTCCCAGCCCCTTTTCAGGGTGTGTAACTGAATTATAAAATTACGCACTGCTTCTTCATTATGTGATTATTGCTTCAAGATCATGGGCTCTCTCTCAACCCAGTTGCGGTTTCTTTGCTTTCCGAATTGTCTCGGAGTTTAATTACCGTAGATTCTCCTTCCTGTGTCAAGCCTAATTTGAAGCTCATTATATATAATTATTCTTGCTCTTTCTCCCGCCTTTCACTCCATTGTCAGCCATTACGTCTGCTGTTTATCCCGTCTGGCCTTACAAATGAGGATGACATTTGGTCAGGTGGGCAATTTTGAAGGGGCGTGCTGAGAAAGAAAAATGTCATGCTTACTCCACTTTGAAACAGATGTTAAACAGAAATTAGTATCCCAAACCAGACATGAATGAGTACTTTGAAACAATGTCAGATGATGTTGGAGTGTAGTCGCCGTCCTAACAAAGACTCCAGATCCTCCCGTAGAAGCACGCAAGCTTTAGTCATGGAATTCAACTCAGAAAAAAAATAAGAGATATATATGTATATATTTAGATGTGTATATACGCATGTATGTACATATATAGGTATACACATGCATACTTCTGAGTGGTGATACATACCTGTAATCACAGCCCTCAAGAGGCTGTGACAGGATGATCAATAATTTGGGGCCAATCTAAACTGTTTGGACATGAAGACCATACCTTGCTTTCCTCAAACAAAAGTTCTCATTTGAAACGGAGCTAACATGGCCATATATTTCACCTGTTTCTCCAAACACAACATTAGAGGTTGTTCACTGTACCAGTATTTCTTTAACTGCTGTGACCATCTGCCTGGAAGAAGCAGCTTGGGGATGTCTGTTCAGACTCATGGTTGCGGGGAAGAAGGTCCATCGTGTGGAGAAGGCATGGCGGCAGGAGCTGCCAGGCTGCATCCACAGTCAGGAAGCAGAGAGATGACTGCCACATCTCCACTGACTCTCATCTTTACTCAGTCTAGGGCCTGAGCACACGGAGTGGTGCCATCCACAGTTGAGGTGGGCCTTTCCACCGTTAGCAGTCCAGGCAGTCCCTCAGAGTCACCCCCAGAGGCTAACCTAATTTAGATAATCCTTCACGAGCATGCTCGGCAGCTCATCTCCCAGGGTTTCTGGATCCTGCCAAGTTGACAATCATTATTAATCATCACCATAGATTTCCTCGGATCACATCCGTAAGAGTCCCTGTCTATGACATCAAATGGTTTCTCTACCATAACAGGATTAAATACTGAAAATGACCTCTCCTTCATGTTCTTTTCTTTCATCATTTTTTGTTTTTCAGATTCAAGATGACTGGAAGTATGTTGCCATGGTGATTGACCGTATCTTTCTCTGGGTTTTCATCCTGGTGTGCATATTAGGGACAGCAGGACTATTTCTACAGCCCTTGATGGCCAGAGATGACACATAAATCGTGATCGGTGCTCCCCGAGGCTCGCAGGTGCTGATGCAGGGCACCGTCTCCATAGCACCACATTTTACCCAGTCACCAGCTTTGGGTTTGCTATCTCAAGGGTTAGTTACTCAACTCATCTTGATTTTTGGCAAAAAGAAAAAAAAATGTAGAAGAAAAATGTCTAGTTATTTACTATGGATAAATGAACACTTAACTAGCCTTGCTGGTAGAACATGGCAGAAGACTCCTTTTCTTGTGGTTGAAAATTAACTAGATAGAAAATCTTCCCATTCACAAATACTAAATCCACTAGCTCAGTATCTCTCTAGATTTCCTCATTTCTTTAGCCCATAGTCTCCTTGAAATTGTAGGCTATTTCAGCAGTGCCCACACCGATTCCTGCTTCTTACTGTCTCTCCAAGCCCAAGGGCTGGTCTTCCGTTTCAGTGTTTGTGTTGCTGTTAAACTGCACAGTATTGCACCCTGAGGATTGCACCCGCTCTCACCCTCATTTGCTAATAGGCTACCCTCATCTTATTCAAGTTGCTAATTTAGGAGAGCATCCTGTAGAGCCCTGCATGGCTTTAATCTCAGCACTCAGGAGGCAGAGACAGAGGCAGGTGAATCTCTGTGAGATTTGAGTTTTGAGGCCAGCCTGGTCTAGACAGTGAGTTCCCAGCTAGCAAGGGCTGCATAGTGAATGCTATCTCAAAACAAGACAAATCCCACAAACTGGACAATTTAGACACAAAGATTTTTCTCACAGTTTAGGAGCCTGAGAAGTCTAAGACCAAGGCTCCAGGAAGACTGTCTCGGGAGGAACCTTCCTCATAAACGTACCTTCCAGTGTGTCTCCAAGTGGCTGAAAGGGCTGGATTTTCTGGAGTCTTTTACAAGAGCACTAAGCCCACTCATGAGGGTAGGACCCCAGAACTAAGAGCCTCCCAGAGAGCACTGCATGGGAAGTTCACATGTGAGCTGTAAGGAACCATCCAGACCACAGGAGGAGCCGTCAGAGCAGGGCTTCACCACTTAGCACAAGGCTTTGGGTTCAGAGTTGTGCCAGGGACTTAGCAGCCCTGTGGCTTCTGCCCCTGGAGCCAATAGCAAACCTCCCACCTTAGCAGTGGGGATGCCTGGAATGTAGAAGGGTGTCATCAGAATTGGTTCTGCTTAAGGAACTGATTTGCACCAACTGAGTTTCCCGTATTAACACTTCTGACTTGGAACCACAACTGGGAACAATAATTCACAGAGACCATTGGAGTAGTCTCATTAGCTGTGTTTTTTCTCTATGCAAAATAAAACCTGACCATTTCAATTCACTGCGGCTCATATTTCAATAAATCAAAAGGAAGAGTTCTATAAAATTTGTTGGGTTAAAAATATCTTAACAGTAATGAAGATATAAGAGATGATCAATCTATACAAACTAGGGTAGCTAACAAGAGATTTATCTCAAACCAGATTTTAATAGCATTCCCTCATGATAACAAAATGCCTGAGATAATCAACTTAACGAGTTGAAACGTAGCTGGGTGGTGGTGGTGGTACACTCCTTTAATCCCAGCACTGGGGTGGGGGGGGGGGCAGAGGCTTCTCAGATGAGAGCCGAGGATGCATCATCTATGGGTGTAACGGTAAATGGCTAGGTGTCAGTTTAATATTATGTCCATTTAGCAGAGTAACAGTAATAGATTCTCCCCTAGAGCCTATGACCTCCCTATGACCTGTGTAGCCATGGTTCTTGGTCTGCTGATAATGCCAGGTGTAGGTTCTATCTCATGGAACAGGATTTAAATTCAATCAAAAGTGGCTGGCTATTCCTATGATGTTCGAATACTATCGTGCCAAAGAGCATGTCTGGCCAAACACTCATTATTGTAGCTCATTAGGCTCACAGCCAGCCAAGACTGATGACGACTTTGCTCCCCGTAGCGTGTTTATCACCTCTTAGCACCACGAAAACCAGTCAGCAGGGATGAAGCTTCCAAGTCAGCACCAGCTTCATTTTCCCATGTCCTATGACTCAAGTATGTGGTACTTCAGGAACAGGGTCTTACCCTCAGGCTCTAGACAGCCTGGGATGTCTGGCCTTAGTCCTTACAGAAGATCCTATTAACCCATGCTGACACATCCTAGGCTTTCTCTAACTTGCTTCTTCAGACTTTTCCAGATTCCTTCTACAAATTGATTCTAACGGCTTCAGAGCTACACCGTCAATCACAATAGCTACCCTGCTGTGTGGCTTCAATTTCATCCAAATTGAAACATTCCCTCCTGGAGGGAAGAGGGAAGCTCAGCAGATTCATGAAACTCACAAGAGACTAGTGGACTCCCAAGGTTCACTCCTGAGTTTATAAAAACAGAAACGACGGCCTGGAAAGAGGAAACTTCCCGGTACTGTGTCCTGCAAGTTGCACAGGTTACCCAGGCTAGGGCGGGCTTTCCATGATGTAGCTTCCCAAGTCACCCATGGTCCTGGAAGAAACCCCTCCCCCACATTCCTGTAAGTAGCCACAGTGAACTCACTGGTTCTCCAAGCTGGATTCAGGCAGAACTGTTTCTTTGTTCTATTCCTACCCTTTTATCTAGGATGACTAGAAGCAGACTCCCTGGAAAGGTCACACAACAGATTCCACTTTGGGGAACTGATAACCTATTAGCTCTCTGTTCTTATGGGAAAATATTCGAGATAACCAACTTAACCAAGAGAAAAGTTTGTTGTAGTTCACGGTTTCAGAGGCCGTGGTTGGAGGGCCCACCGCTTTGAAGTCAGTGGCAAAACAGCATATAATGCTAGGGAAACACAAGGGAGCAAAGCTGTCTACCTCGTGGTGGCTGAGAAGCAAAAGGAAGGGCTAGAGTCTCAAAATCCTCCTCAAGGGCACACCACTAGGGACCCAACTTCCTTCTGCTAGGGCCTACTCCTAAAGGTTCCACTGCCTCCCAAAAGCACCTACGTCCAAGCGTCCAAGCTTTCAACAGATGGGTCTGTGAGGGACATTTATCTAGAGCACAGACCTTCACTTACTCTAACATTATTAGAAAATGCAAACTCTACAGGGTCCATCCTCCAGAGAATGCTTACTTGAGTTTAAGCAGTGAATATATTAGCAATAAATGAGGATTTTGCTAACTTAACAGCTAAGAGTTTGAAAGCAAATGCAAGGTTTTGGGAGATAGGTGAGTTGGGGCCTTTGGGATGAAGTTGAACTGCTTTATCCATGATACAGTATACTGTCCTGACTGATGACATACCTGGTAATAGGCTAAAACTAGATTATAACTAAAGCATCCAGCATGTTGTGGGGTATTATTTTAAGATGTGTTACATTTGTTTATGCTGTGGAACATTTGTTTAATGACGCACAGCTATGTTGCATTCTTTTATGTTGCATTTGTTTAACTCTGTGAAGCTGTGCTTCTTTGCCTGTCTAAAACACCTGATGGGTTAATAAAGAGCTGAATGGCCAACAGCGAGGCAGGAGCAAGGATAGGTGATGCTGGGCAGAAATAGGAGGAGAAATCTGGGAGGAGAGAAGAATGAGCAAAAGAGATCAAGGAGTAAGAAAAGAAGGGGCCAGCTGTGGAGTCAGAGTGAAGGTAAGATTACAGAAGTAAGAAAAGGAAAAAACTCAGAGGCAAAAGGTAGATGGGAGAATTTAAGTTAAGAAAAGCTGGTTACAAACAAGCCAAGCGGAGGCTGGGCATTTATAAGAATAAGCCTCCGTGTATGGTTTATTTGGAGCTGGGTGGTGGCCCCCCCAAAAGCCAAAAGAGTAAAACAACCAACAATACCAGCTCTAAGATTTTATGATTATAATCGCTGGGGTGAAAGATAATAAAACATTATAAGATATGACAATGTGCTTACCTCAACTCAGAAGAGCAATTTTTGTTAGCTTTTGAAACAGGGTCTCATAATGTAACTCAGACTGACCTAGAACTCACAGCAATTCCCCTGCCACTGCCTCCTAAAAGTAGAGACAACAGGTGTGAGACACCATATCCAGCTGAGAATACACCTTTAAGCTTGGAAGATGGTTCTTCCAAAGAATTATCAAAGCAAAGATATGCCTCCTTTGAGATGGGATCGACGTAACTGCAGTCTGCTGTTCTGGGGTCAGGGATGAACCATGCACATAAACAACTCTATTAACCAGAGAAGGGGGGCGGGAGGACTGAAGTCATTACGAAGGATATGTCACTGTGTCTGCAGGAGTTACTTACCTGTTGTAAGTTTACAACGGAAGATAGCTTCAAACTTGAGCCATTCCACTTGAGCATCTAAAGAATAAAGTGACCTAGGGAGTTTCTAGTCACTCTTTTTCACTTATGAAAAAGAAAAATGTTGGTAAAGAGCCAGGCAGTGGTGGTGCATGCCTTTAATCCCAGCACTTAGGAGGCAGATACAGGCAGATCTCTATGAGTTTAAGGCCAGCCTGGTCTACAAAGCGAGTTCCAGGACAGCCAAAGCTGTTATACAAATAAATCCTGTCTCAAAACAAAACAAAATAATAGCTTCGTATTAAGTGTGGTGGTTTGATTAGGAATGGTTCCCATAGACTCACAGATTTAAATGTTTGATCACTAGGGAGTGGCACTATTAGGAGCTGTGTCCTTATTGGAAGAAGTGTGTCACTGGGGATGGACTTTGAGATTTCAGAAGCTCAGCCAGGCCCAGTAGCTCATTCTCTCTTCCTGTTGCCTGCTGATCCAGAAACAGAACTCTGAGCTACTTTTCCATGCTGCCATGATTCCTGCAATGACAATAATGTATTAAATCTCTGAATCTGTAAGCCAGCCACAAATAGATGTTTTCCTTTATAAAAAGTTGATGTGCAGGGCTGGAGAGATGGCTCAACAGCTAAGAGGACTGGCTGCCCTTCTAGAGGTCCTGAGTTCAATTTCCAGCAACCACATGGTGGTTTACAGCCATCTATAGTGGGACCTGATGCCCTCTTCTGGCCATAAAGTCATACATGCTGATAAAGCACTCTACACATAAAATAAATAAAGAAATCTTTTTTAAAAAAGTTGCTGTGGTCATGGTGTCTCTTCACAACAATATTAACTAAGACATTAAACCATCATTAAACCAAGTAATTGGCTTAATTCATATAGAAGTATTATGTATCACACATCCATGAATACAGGACAGATAGAATTTTAAAATATATATATGAGTTGGGCAGGGTGGAACACACCCATAGTCCCGGGTACTTAGGATGCTGAGACAGGAGGTTCACTGGAGTCCAGGAGTTTGGGGCCAGCCTGAATAATTTAAGAAGGCCCATTCTGAAAATACAAAACCACACAATTATAAGCTTTTACTAAATTTGGAAAAAGTTCTAAACGGTCTTCAACTATAACTGTATTTGCTAACACTCCAAAGATGAACTTCCTCATGGGTTCCACGTCAGAAGGCTTTCACCAATGCAGCTGGACAATGTTCTGTTGCTACCTGCTTTTATTACTTCAGTTCTAATGGACAATATTAAGCCAGGTTAGAAATTACTAATCTGTTACAGCCTATATCAAATTGAAAATAATTTCCCATTTTCATAACTGTATACATGTCCTAAGAGATGTGTGGTTGCTCACTAAACCCATAGTAATTTCTTGGCTTCACTTAATTGTATTTCCGATGTGAACCGGGACTATGATATTGGCCCATTTATAAATAACAGGAACAAAAAGCCCCAGAGTCCCAATGACCGAAACCAGAAGAAAAGTCCACAGAAACATCCGGTCAAGAACTTGTGCTATGAATTTCCAGTCTTCAACAACCTGTTAAAAAACAAACATTAAATACAAATATCAAACTTGTACACATTTTAAGAATAAAAAAAAAACCCAGAAGATAATCATTTGCTGTCTTCAAAGCATAAGCAATCCTGTGCCCAGGTCTCTGAGATAAACTGGTATAACTTATTAAATTCCATTCCAGTCTAAATCATTAGCTGACAAATATTCTCCCCTTTTAACAGTCCACTAATAGTTAAAACCCTTATAATGATGCTTTAATTATACCACCACCACATACTACAACCAACAAGTTAGTTAGAAGTGAACTAGGCAGGGTGGCACATGTATGTGGTACCAGCTACTTGGAAGACTGAAGCAGGAGAAGCCTGAACAACAAGTGGGACCACATCTCAAACAACAACAAAAAGTTAACTCAAAGTTATTCCCTGGACATAGTGGTGCTTGCTGTAAGCCCAGCATTCAGGGGGCTAAAGTAAGAGGATTGAGAGTTCAAGGCTAACCTGAGCTACATAGCAAAACGCTGTCTAAAAAAAAAAAAAAACAGTCT